AATCACAAAATTTCGTTAAATCTGTATTGAATTTTTTGAGCTATCGGAGCTCAAAATGTCAAAAAAATGAAAAACTTTTTTTGTTTGGCGCCATTTTTAACTATGAAGAACCAAACGTTTTTTAATTTTTAAAATTTGTTTATATAGTGCTTTTATAGCTAAACAACATATCAAAAAATAAAATTGGCGTTTGCTTTCTTTGAAAAATAAAACAACTTCAAAAACAGGCAAAACAAATTTTTTTCAAGTGTCAATTTTTTTTTTTTCAATTTAAAATTATTATACAACGTGCTAATGTGTTTAAAAACAGTTTCAGGAAGAGTTATGTGAATTTTTCCAACATAAGAAATGTTATCATCAGGTATAAGAATCAAAATATGTTTAAATGGTACATAGCAAATATCTACATTTTTAGGCCAATAAAAAATATTTTCTTTAAATTTCTTCAGACAGTTAACTTTTAAATCATCATTTTTATCATCTCTTTCTATAATGTTTCCTAAATACCATTTCTTATCATAGACCAAAGCTACAAATCGACCCGGCTCGTAATCATCATTGGTGTCTTCACTTTCATTTTTATTAAAATTGTATCCAAATAAATCTGAAGACAAACGTTTCATCAAAAGTTGATCATTTTTGTCTGGAATAAATGAGTGATGACTTCGACAACCCTTTATTTTATCTGCTGACCTAAATCTTTTTTCAAGCATTCCTAGCAGATCTTTAATTTCTTTTTTGTCTACCCAAAAAAATTTAATACCATTTATTTTCGCATCAGCATATGTGTAAAAATCTTTGGCGTTCAATATCTGATCTTTTGTTGATGCCTGCAAACTTGCTCTTGCAACCAATCTTTTTGTTGTCCCTCCAATTCCATCGCAAGGACTTTTACCATGAGAAGTTGCAAAAAAGTGCCATTCTGCTTTTAATCCAAAATCCTCTTTGTGATGAATTAAATTAGAAAAATTTTTGTATTGACTTACCGCACCATCAGAAAAATATTTAATTAAAGTAACGTTTTTCAGGTTTTGTTTTACATAGTTAATTAAATGTTTTTGAAAAGCATAAACAGCGGAAACATTGTGATCGAGACAGTCGCTAATCATGCAAACGCTTTTGACAGATAAGTTTTCATAAATAAATAAATAAGTTTTCTGTAATAAAGAACAATTGGGTGAAGAGTAACTTGCGTGTTGCTCCAATGTTGACTCTGGATTGCATCCTGTATTATCACCGAATAATTTTCAGCAAAATCCATTAAAGCAATACACTCCGAATTTTTTAAATTTTTTTAGAATCGCTAAGATATTTCAATTGTTCTTTGCTTATGTAATGATGCGATGACAACTCGTCAAGTTTTTGCGAAAATCTTTCAATGAAACTGTCAACTGTATCCTGTACGGAAATCAATGAACCGCGATTATCATCATGGGAAATTACAGCTTCTTCGAAAATCGCTCTTAAGTTATTTTCGACACTCAGTTTTCCTGGGCATTCCTCACATCTGTGTAACATACATTCTAAATTTTAAATTTTAAATTGAAAAAAATAAAAAATATTGACACTTGAAAAAAATTTGTTTTGCCTGTTTTTGAAGTTGTTTTATTTTTCAAAGAAAGCAAACGCCAATTTTATTTTTTGATATGTTGTTTAACTATAAAAGCACTATATAAACAAATTTTAAAAATTAAAAAACGTTTGGTTCTTCATAGTTAAAAATGGCGCCAAACAAAAGAAGTTTTTCATTTTTTTGACATTTTGAGCTCCGATAGCTCAAAAAATTCAATACAGATTTTAACGAAATTTTGTGATTTATTTATGACTATAAGGTACTTCTAAAATAACAAAAAATATTTATTTATTTTGCGATGGATTTTGAGCTACGCTGTTTTGAAATCGGTGAAATTTTTAAAAAATTCATTTTTTTCTAGATTTTTTGTTCAAAATATCCTTTGATTCGAGACAATAACATTTATTTTTTTTGTTATTACATTGTTTTACTGATATGCACAAAAAATTTCATCAAGATATGTTGGCTAGTTCAAGAGATATAGCGTTCTACGTAGGTACAAGTTTTGAAAAAAATCGCTCAAAAATTTGAGGATGCTGTCACAAAAATCTTCATAACTTGAAAAATAATTGAAATTTTTTTATAAAAATTTTATTTTGTCGATGAAATACATTGAGGTACTTACTGTTCAAATTTTAAAAAAATCGGAGATGGTCGGGCGTGGACCATGGTTCAAGTTGACAGAGAATGACCCATATATGTATATATATAAGCGTTTAACAAAATTCCAATTTTAACAAATTTTCCGAAATCAACGTTAATCAAATCACTTGAAAAATTTTGCAAAAATCTTTTATCTGAAAAATGTTGTTCGTAAAAAATGGTCTCATTATGATCTTTCTTCCAATTTATCCAAAATCATAGTAAGTTTATTTTTCAAATTCAACTCATGAATGGTACAAAAAAAAATTTCTTCAAGGCTTGCACTGACATGACTACGATAAAATAATTTTATTTTACGATAAAAGCAAACCTATTTTATTAGTTAACACACAAAACGAATAATCTGAAAGTGCATGCTAAATCTAAATTGTATGCTTTCAATTAAAATTAGCATCAGCACCATCGAGGTTGAACGGTGGAAAAGAAAACCTCGGGCGTCAATGTCAATTTACGTCAGAGACTCACATTTATGCATTTTTGAAGGTTTTGCTTGAATAAGTTATTTTTCTCAACAAAATGGGAATATACCGTTGAAAGTTGTTTTATGATGATCTGCTGTCGAATACGATGCATATAGCATGACACATTGCTACTCTGTGTGACCACCCCACGCTGGACAGTAATTAATAACAATAATTAAACGACAGGTCATCAATTGAAAATGATTTGTATTAATTAATTGAATTCTAAATTAAATTCCATCATTTCAGTTTTGCATCCCTCCTCAATAAATGACAAATATTTACAAAAATTATTAGTTAAAAGAGACAATTCACGACAAAATAGATAAGTTTCAAAAAATTTAAACACATTAAAATCATTTCCTCAAAGATTTCAAAGTTTTCACGATATAATTTCAACAAAACTTCCATGGAAACGTCGAAAAAAGTACTGCATTTCATTATGGCAGAAATGAATAAAAAAATAAATCGTAAGACCTAATCAACTCATTTAATTGTTTATCTATTACATTTTTTTAATTTTTATTTAATTATTGTTATTTAAAACAGATAATAAATTGTGGACAACCGCTTTATTCCTATTTACATATTTTGTCATGAATATTCATCCCAATTAAACAACTGAACGGTTTATGTGGATATGATTTGAAAAATTATTATTGGCATAACGTAAATGAACAAAAATTACAAAATTATCCGGATTGGCTGATTGTCCTTTTAAATGATTGCAGAGTAAAACACACAAAAGCTATGAAAACGAATAAATAAAGAAATAACTTCAATAATTAAATCCTAAAAAGCTGTAATAATATATTAAGTATCAATGAAACAATGGGATTGGTTGGGAGCGAGGTGGTAGTTGTTGGAGGAGTCAGTGATGTTGTCAAACAAACCTCTCAAAGAGCAAAGTGTAATTCAATTATGCTACATTTATTTTACAAAGATCATTTGGTTCTTTAAAGTCATAAAAATTTAAATGCTTAAATCTCTTCTTTGAAAAACATAAAACATTCAAGTTGAAGTCAAAGCCGGCTGTATTTATTGGCACATGAAAGGTAGAAATAATGTAGGAACAAAACCCCTTGAGGAGTTAACATTTCCTTATGTATTTTCTGTGCAAACCTGTGGAACATCTTGATCAAACGTGATAAAAATGACCAACTCACTGCGTTTTAGTTATTCACTGTTTGATAACATAAGTTACACATTTTAAAGTTTTGAAATTAGAGAATAAAACATTTATTCGATTATTTAGCAAATCGTTTCGTTTGTTTTTTTGAGAGCATAAAATTCATTATCAGTAATGTATGTTACTGTACAAAAAATATTAATTTCAACCAAAATATTTACGTAGTTATAAATGCGTAGGTAATATTGGTAACCATTTTTTTATCAGAGTCGTCGTAGGCAAAACATTGCATCAGCATGCTGTTTAAATATTTCTGTTGTTCAAACTTAAAATTCAATCAAGCTATTTATTCTAAGTGAATGTAAACTTAGTTTGGCTGTAAAATCTTACAAATTGTAAACTGTAATTTTCAAAAAAAATTCATGATTCATTTAATATTTAAACAAACATAAGAGCATCATATCAATGGATCTATTAAATATATCTATATATTTTTTGAATAAAAAAATATTAACTGAAAGGAGTTATTATAAAATAACAATTTGAAAATAATGAAGCCAAAGAAATAAAGGATGGCTGTTGCGCGGTGACCTGATCAGCACGAGCCATCCAATCTCCACATTGCACGCAAGTTTCGCTCTCGCACGCACATCGTTTCCAAATAAAAATTTATCATAAATTGTGAAAAATCCATTAAAAATATTTGTCTTTTAAACTAATGTGGAACAAAAATTTATTATTATGCCTGTGTCACGCTGTTTAGTGCTAACTTCTAAGTAACTTATTTTGAAAAATAAATCACTGCTAAACTAGAAATGTGAAATTGCAAATGTTAAACGACAAATGTTATATTACAGAAGAGTATCTGGTTACCAATATTACCTTAACAATGTAACATTAGAGGTATTACATTACTAGTGTTACATTACAAACGTAAGTTTACATCATTCAAAAAACATCATACCAATGTTAAATGACACGCTGGTATGATGTTTGACTCAGGCCTGGATGACGAACTGTCCTTTTTTTTGAGTTTCGGACAAGAGATTTTTTCATCTTTATTCAATGGCTTCTCTTCAATCAGCTCTACTGGTTTAAGCTTCAGATATTTGCAACGCTACTTCAGCTGTTTGCTTTATTTTCAAGAAGCAACTTGGAATCCAGCAGTTAGAAAGCGTTTCTCAGAGGTTTTGCAACCACATCGCTTTTGTAAAGTTTTTCGCCTTGTTGTATGTGCTATGCAGTGCACGTGCAGTGTACTATTGTCTTGTAATTCTAGTGAAAATATTTATTCATACATATAAATATTGAAAATTTATGCTGCATTTTTTAACATCATGAATTTTTTATTTTATTAAAGTTATGTTCAATTGTTAAGCAAAAAAATAATGGTTTTATAATTAACTGCAAGAAATTTTGTTAAAATTTAAAAACAATGTGTAGAAGATGTTGTTATTTTTATAACACAACTATCTTGCAACTTGAATTTATAAAACGGATTATGCTAACAATTTTAGACGTATTGTGCACACATTACTATAACAAACCCTGCATTCAAAAATTTTTTATGAAATGAGTGATTATTTTTATTTAATTGTTTAAAATATTGTTTGATACACTTATTTTGGCGTTTCTTTGTTTTATGATGCTTTCAAAAGCAAGACGTACATTTAATTTGTAATTTCATTCAACAGTGTCAAATCTTCAAAATTTCACAAAGGTATCTAATGCTCTTTTATTTTTATCTCCAACTTTTATAACCACTATTCATTCTGGATCAAAATGAAATTTTGTAGATGTTGTGTATTTAATTCAATTACTTCTACAAATACAGAAGATGTTGACAAGTATCTCTTTCCAGTGCTGTCATGAATGTTTTCAACTTTAAAATTTTCACTTATGCAAAGCGGCAGAAAAAACTCTGTTTTGTGTTTTGTAAATTAAAAATAAGCAGTGCAAAATGATGCTAAAATATTTCAGAATATTTAAAACTAGAAATAAATAAACAAGAGAAATCATTAACTCGACTGACAATAATATTAGATTAGATATTCCGCATTTTTAATCAAATTAAACTTATATGAGGCGGCAAATTTGTATCGGCGCTAACATTCGAACGTAATAAAAAACCGGTCTGATTAGTAACATTGTCCTCATCTCGCTGGACAATAAGTAAGGTGTGAAGTTTTGTAAATTTATTCATTTTGTTAAAATATTCATTTACTTGAAACAGCTTAAAACTTATAAGCATATAACATTGTCATCTGATTCATAATCATCGCCATCACTACATAACAAAACAAAAGATATATTTCAGGCCATCTAGCGGCATTAACAAAAAGTAGTATACAAAAACCGATGAAAAAATTTGTCAGCCCGAGAAAGAATGGCTTCAAACAAAAACGTGTTACCATTCATTTAATGTTTACAACGTCTTCCTACCAGCAAGATAATGTTTATCAATGTAAAAAAAATGCCTGCATCACCCCAGTAAATCACCCAATCACCATAACGAATCACCATAATGCACATATATAATGCATCTACACAATGCATCAATATAACGCTCGTATAAAAAACCTCTTAAATAATGCTATTGTACAATGCATCTACTTAATGCATTTTCTTATATATATATATTTACATATATATATATATATGATATATATATATACTATACATATATAGTATATACTATATATATACTATATATATACTGTATATTATATATATACATATATATATATAGTATTGTATGAATTCTACCGAGTTGTTGACATAAAACAATTTAAAGTTTGTCTTTTCAATTTTCCTTACCAGAATTTTTGTGATTTTTGACAAATTTTTGTCAACAGCACAAAAATAAGTTATCAAAACACCAACACAATACATCTAAAAATTGCAGAAGCAGTCCTAATATTTTAGATTTCAATAAACCCCAAATAAACTTCCAAATAGAAACTTACCAACTCGACGCCTTAATACTAACTCTAATAAAAATATATAAAAAAAGTGACAGCAAAGAAGATAAAGAATATGACACTAACTAAGTAACTAACTTTGCTTTGCCTAAAAAAACTATATACACACAAAAGCTGCACTGAAGATGATTTGTGAAAAACCGCATAAAGCCCTATCTGCATGAAAAATTTAGATAACAACAGTTTTATTAAATTTTCATAATGAAGTTGAATAATAATTCTATTTGCAATAAAGTGTCCGATTTCCAAAGAAATTCTAAAACAAAAAACTGAAAAGACAAACTTTATATTGATTAATGCAAACAATTCAGTTAAATTCATACAATATTGTATATTGTTTCCTTCCAACACACACACACACACACACACACACACACACACACACACACACACACACACACACACACACACACACACACACACACACACACACAC